GAAAGACACTTTTAGCAGTGTGTCAAAACCCTAGTATTTTCTTAACAAAAAATGAAACCACACATTTACAAAATGTCATTTAAAGTAAGATGTGTCACTGGTCAAGAACCAGTCATTTGGAAACGTCCGCATCAGTATTTTGGAGCCATATTTGGCAAAAGAGGCGAATCTGGTCAGGAGAATTTGGTCCACCTAGCCAGGAACTAAACCCCAATCTCCAACAAGTATTTGGATCTAAGTCAGCCAAATTGGCTGTAGACTCTAGATCAGCGAAGAGACTGGGCTGGAGAAGTGTGGTGACCAGTTCCTGAGAGGAGACAGTTCTCCCCAGCCCTGCAAATCTTTACCGGGCAACAAACAGGGAGAACATCCAGTGACTTGGAAGGCCAAACTCCCAGAAGGGGTGGAGCCATGATCAGATACTTCCAAGAGCCTCCCAGACAAATCAGCGCCTCAGCCATGTTTGGCTCAGCCCCAGCAAGGAAGAAGGGTGCACTGAGGGGTACTAACTGTTTTCCGTGCTCCCCAAAGCACTAGGTTTCAAAGATCTGTCCACAACAGGAGGTTTGGATGAGACAGTCCCCGCTGACGGACTTGCAGGGTGAACTGGAGAGACAGGAACCTTTGGGATTAAATCAGTTGGGGGCTTTTCCACGCCAGGGATGAGGGGTCCGTCCAGAGACTCGGGACTCTGCTCTGGCTTTCCAAATTCCTGTACTATCCTTAGACGTTCCTTCTCCAGCTCCTGTCGTCGAATCATCTCCTCGAAGGCATGAAACTGCTCTTGCTCTGCCTGCTGCTGCTTCATCAGGGCTACCCGATTTCTCTCCTCTTCTAGCTGCTGCTGCAAAGCCAAATTGCGTGCAAATTCTTCTTCCTCCTCCTTCTGCAAGGAGAAATACACCAAGGGACATCAGGAGACAGGGGAACACTAGCCCAAGGCAGAATACAAAGCCTGTGCGCTGCAGACCCTCAGCAATCCCAGACTACTTCTAAAGGTTCTGCAAAAGGTAACCAGTAAGACAGCACTCCCTGCAAGGAAGCTTCAGCTTGCAAAACAGAGATCCACACTTCCATCAGGAGAGCCAGCTAGACCAAGGCAGTAAAACTGTAGCCTTACCCTCCCTCTTCCACCGAAATATAATTCCAAGTTGATTTCCCTCTATCCTATCTCTAAAAATCACACTTGTCCACAGCAAAACTGACTGCAGAGTGTTCTGCTTTGCCCACAGAAACCCAGATCCTTGTCCATGCTGTTACTAGTCATCTGTTGAGTTTCTGGATCATAAGACCTAGACCTCGTGTTGGGATAAAGAGAAAAAAACAACCAAACAACAGTCCCAGCTCAGACTGCCTCCAGGATGCACAATGGAAAGAGATGCAGGGACGCCTATGCCAGGTTCACCTACTCTGCTGTCACCTTGGCAGCAGAGACATGATCGAGACAGTCCTGTGCTGCAGGTGACAAGACTGGACCCTGCAAGCTGGGGCTACCCAGACCTCACATTTCAGAGCACCCAGGGAGCCCTGGAGACCTGCCCTCTTCCAACCCCTCTGTGGCTGAGGGTCTCCTGGGGAGCACGGGCCTCCAGTCTCCTCTCACTCACCTTCTGCTCCTTGTACTTAGCATAGTCCTTGGCGTACCTCTTTAATAGCTCCTCCTTGAGCTCTTCAGCTCTGGGGAAGGCTACTTCTTTCAGTTTCTGAAGGGAGGAAACAGAGTCATAAGAGTGTGATAGCCCCAAGGCAAGAAAAACAAGACAGAAGAAAAACAGTAGCAAGAATCAATGGACACATAGCACTCATTGCAGATGACACCAAGCTGGGTGCAGATGA